CGCGACTTGCGAGTTTTCCCCAAAAATGATGCATGTAAACCAAAAGCCAGGCGTTAAATGTCATAACATTGCTTGCGAATAATTTAAATCAAATATTATTTACGAAGAATTTTATTACACCATTTTCCGATATACAAAAGTTATATCGCAATACGCACACTCAAAAGATTCCATTTTTTTCGGTCCGTTTCTATCGTTCAAGATAGACGCACGTTTGCTAGAGTGTCTGTAGTATTTTCGTCGCTGATAAATTTAAAAAAAGTTGCCGCATCTGGCGAAGATAGTGACGTATTGAGTTTAAATAGGGCCAGGTCTGTGTAGATAATGCTATGTAATGATAATCATAGAAAAGGAATTAGTCTTTAGATGTTATTACCTAATACCTAACTACGAAATCGCATTTACGGGAACTTTGTTTCGCAAGTCTTGCTCGCACAGAAATAAAAAGTTAATTTTTATTGATAGTGGTTAAATTAAATATTTTACAACGGCCGCATAGGCTGCAGTGGCCACACGCTGGTTGTACATCTAATTATTCTCTGCGGGTATGTTTTAGTACACTGAGCAGACTAACATTGAAAATGATTTAATGCGGTTTCATATCTATTTTTGGAACAATTAAAGGCAAAAAATATTGTAATATTCCTAAATTTTATTGTCCTGGGAAATGCCTGTTTAGTATCAAATGAAATCCAATGTTCAGGACATTTCCAAATATATAATACATTTATAATAATACATTTATAATTTTTTGACATCTAAACCCAGCATTGTGGGAATTCCCACTATTTGAATAAGTTTGAAAATAGAATAGGATTCGGTATTCTGGATTCGATTTAACTATTCTAGAATAGTGAATTATTCTACATTGCCCATCCCTAATTAGCAAAATAATTTAATATAATGCCGCATCGATGCATTCATATGCTGCAAATGTTCAAGTTCCATAATTTATACAAGACAGCAAGAAGAGTTTAATTTACTATGGATTGTTGGTGTTCAAATTTAAATAAAAATCGCGAAGTTAAATGTTATCGTAATCCATTGTGCGCTATGGGGCCACTGTCACGTCAGTGAAATGCTAGCGAAATCCTACATTAAAATATACGATGTCATAAAAGTGTGTTCCCACTTTGCGAAGTATTTCTAATCAATAGCCACGAAAACCCTAACCCTAACGAAATTTAAGACCTCATTTGCTTAGTGCAATTAAATTATTTTTTATTCTTAAATTTTATAATGAAACACTTTTTATGACATCGTATTTTTGAGCAGCAGGATTTCGCTAGCATTTTGCTAGCGTGACAGAGGTGTTATGGGAGTTTCAGTTCTAAAAAAACAAAGATGCTATGTTCAATTGTTATAATTACACATTACACGTATAGATGGATATAAACAGTTTCGATCCACTATCGATATTAATTCAACTATTGAAAATAAACTTCATTTACCTGCTTCGCTATACGACAATTTAAACGATGCAGTGAAGTCACAATAATTTATTAAAAACCAGTTCGACACCTATAAATCGAAATGCGTAATTTTGTAATACTTTGATCTTATTCAATATTAATTATTTCATTTAACGACTTTTGTATTTGCGCACCATTACGGTACTTTAATAGGCATCGTCAGCACTTTCAACATTCAGACATTGGACTGAATAAAAATGGTTCAGAAATACATTGTATATGTAGTAGTATAGGGCAGTATACATCCAATATTAATGAAAAACTGCAATTAAATTAGAAAAATTCGAGAGCCGCACCGATCTGTGCATGACCTTCTGTGGCGTATACCATACCCAGCCATCTGACGGTCTCACGCATCATGCTTCCTGCCGACTCGCAGCCCCTCATTTCAGAGACGCGCATGCATTTTTTGATGTTCCAGATTACAACCGCAAATCCGGAATCAGAATAGTGTGCCGCACTGGGTGAAGGACTTCAGAGAAATTGATAAAAATAAGTAGCCTATCAGTTTACAGGTTTACCGTACCTAGCATTCAACTCTCAGACTCTGTAACTGGCAACCTCACTTTTAACCTGATAACAGTACCGGTATATGTAAGTACGCTACCGGTACTAGACTACAGGTACCGTACCGGTACCGGTATATAAGAACCTTGTAAGTTTTTATAACAGACAGACAGAGATCAATTTCCCAATATTTTACGCTCATCAGTTCACTCATTACTGCATTATGTAGTTATATTATATAACTATATAAAGGGTGAATCTCATACAGTTATATATAGAGGTACCGTAAAATTCCTCAGCAAACAGATACCGGTATTACAGCACACAAAACACAAAACCGCAAACAGCAAGATCAGGCGATGACAAGACTGAAATAAATAGACTCAAGTCACGTGATGTCTATCGAAATAGTCTCCAAGTTTCTTTATATCGGAAGTAGCAGAGGTTTCAATGTAAGCCTGCCTTTTTTAAGTTTAATACTATACTTGATAAAAATTTTATATCATTAACCTAAATAGGATAAGTTTGATACTCTGCTTGATAAAAATTTTATATCATTAACACTAAATAGGAGGATAGAGAACAACGAGGCGTATGCCATTTGCCCATGACGAAAACAGGTTTCAACGTTCAGTATCGGGACTTCAAAAAGCAGCGTCACCGTTCCTTATCATTATTAAAATGTGGTATTTTTTAGTTAATTCCGACAGAGTATACAAATTAAGGTTGCTTGCCGCGGTAATTCGAAATTTCAATGGAACTTAGAAGCAATGAAATTTCTGACTCATAATGCGACACAGAGTCACAGACCCCGTGACCAATGTTGCACCATGTCTGTAGGCCACGTCATGCCAGATACCTCGACTTTATGCTAAATCACTGCATGACTATTAAGTTTTAAACGCTTTATGCGGGGGGTTTTGCGCCACCCACCCTTTTATTCATTACGTAACGGTATTACAAATAACAAGATAGACAAATACATAGATAATAAACCAGTATTTTGATATTCCGAGACTCACGGTTATGGGTAGGGTAGGATTTACATATTTATCCCGGGGGAGAGGAAAGTCGATAAGACAGCTTAACCATATGACGAACCACGGCCTCTCGTCCGGTTACCAGTCCATGTCGGGTATGGGATTAGTTTTAGTTATTTGTTTTTTGGAAGCATGGACTTGATGGTAGAGGAAGCAGTAACCGACCAGCGGTTACGTAAACCATCCTACGACGGTGAGGAGTCCAGCAATCCTCTCGCACATAAATACCCCGCATGGGATGCGAACCCACGAAGGGTAATCAGAGATGCGGTGGCGAGCGTATTCCTAACGCTAAACACGATGAGCCACACCGCCGCGCCATATGGTAAGAAGGAGAGCATGGCGGGGTGGTTTATGTAACCACAGGTCGGTTACGGCTTTCTCCCCCATCAAGTCCCAGCTTCCGAATACACATTACTAGCTAACTAATCCCATACCCGTCATGGACCGGTAACTGGACGAGAGGCCGTGGTTCGTCACGGCCTCTCGTCCGGTTACCAGGTCATGTTCTAAAGATAAATAACTAATTATCAATATTTACTCAAATTAATACCTTCTTCTCAACAAAAGTGTAGGGTAGTGTTATTTCCTAATATGTCACCCTTGAATATTCTACTCGCAGATTTATTTTCTGTTTTTCAGGTCGTTTGTGATGGCCAATTCAATGGCTAGCTTATTGAATATAAAGGGTGTCTACATCATCAAAATTGGCAGTCTGATGTCTCATCTATGCGTTACATTGAGTAAATGAAGAAATGATCATGTGAAATATCAATCCTAATTCCTTTGTCCTTGCAGAAGTCAATATCTAAGATTGAAAAAACCTTCATATAACCTTGGTAACCAACATATTCCTATTCCCTGTCGTCCTACCTTAATTAATTATAATTACTTATACTGTTACTTGTACCTTTAAATACTTATTACAATCTGGACTATAATTTGGCAATAATAGGCTCTAATTTGGGGAATGAAATGGTCTCGCCCACCTCTTCATGCACCCAATTCTGGCAACTTCGGTTGGGCAACTTGGCATTTGACTCCAACTATAATCAGCTTGGCAATATGTTTTCAATAGAATCTTCCTTTTATATCCTAATTAACGATTAGAAAATCGATCAATTTGGCAATGGCAACCATTACAAAAATATCAATATGGTGTGGCAGATAATTTTTTTCTTTTATAGTATTTATTTTTGTTTACTGTATAGTATACCCTAAATTTATCGCGTTTTGTTCTTACTTGAATAACTTCTCAGTGGTTGTGTTTGTGTGTGGCTGGTGGGTGCATGTGAGCGTGTGTGAAATAACTTAATAATTTTGGGTGAGTAAACACGTACCACTTCCTCTTGGCAAAACCTTCCATCTTATATTTTGTACGTTATAAACCTTATCTAAGGTTTTGTTTGCTCCCCTGATTTCATAATCAGTTTTTATCTGTCAAATGTATTGTTATGCTGATTATGGAGTCGAAATAAACTTATACTTATCGATCAATTCGGCAGTGGCAAACGTTATAAATTTATTAATATGGTGTGGCAAGTAATCTTTACTTATTTATTTTTAACTACCCATATGTAATTTCTTCTGTATGGTTGTGTGTGATATATTTCCATTATTTTAGGTGAGTGAACACGCAAAACCTTCCATCTTGTGTACATTCTGAACGTTTTAAACCTTATCTAAGGTTTTGTTTGCTCTCCTGATTTCACAATAAGTTTTTAGTTATTTTTTTTTACCAATCATTTTATTGTTATGCTGATTATGGAGTCGAAATAAACTTATACTATACATGTCGGGTATGGGATTAGTTGACCAGTTATTTGGTTCAGATGTATGGACTTATGGTTAGAGAGGTCAATCTGTCCTCAACATCCTTGTGAAAACTACTTTTACAGCCCTGCATATTTGAAAAGGTCTGGGATGTGTCCTAGTGAGCAACAGCCAGCCCCTCATAAAACAAACTCATATATCAAATTATTTTATTGCACAGAAAATTAAAGTGAAGCATAAATTAGTGAAAAATATGGTGATTACAATATGTGAATACATGTCTCTAATTTAGTCAGTTATTTGTTTCAGATGCATGGACTTGAATCTTGTACTATATTTTGTGACCACACAACTGCAATGTTTCACTGGTTAGCACCTTTGATGCCAGATGCAGTCTGGTATCCAGTATTATCGGATTTACTCTTACCACAGAGTCAGACAATGGCAATACGGCAAACTATAAGTCGTTGCATACAAAGCTTACTGTTGTATAGAATGGAACTGCACATTTTATGATATCATAATAGAAAGAGGAAGCGATGCATATAATTGATTGTAAAAGTATTACAATTACTGGAAAAAAATGAGAAAAAAAAACTTTGGTAGTTGCCAAATCAATAGTACTGCCTATTTTAGAAATGATTATACATAAAGTCCCTTTACAATTTCAATTTTGTTATGATGTCAGTTCTCAATATATCCTAACCAGGTTTGTTGTTCTTTGTTCACTAAGTATTTTTACTTCATTTAATACATCCGCGAGGGCCAAAACAATATATGGTATCGATTAATTCCCTTCGCGATTTAAAAAAAATTTAAGACCTCATGGACACCTTATATTTCAATATGATATAATACTGCAATCAGTCGTGGAAAATTCCTTTCAAGCATCATGTCAATCACTTTCTACTGATACCTCTGTAGGAAATAAATATATGGTGGCATACAAATTTGTATCAGTACTTCATTCAATTTTAGTTGATTGGATTCGTCATTTAAATCAGGGGGGAGCAAACTGCGGCCCGCGGGCCATATGCGACCCACAAAGAAAAATTGTGCGGTCTGCGGAGAAGTGACAACTTTGAATGGTGTGCCTGCGAAATGATTTATAGTTTAGTTATCTGGTACGTGTGAGCAATTTCAATCCTTCTGAGTCACAAAGCATATGACAGTGTCTGAGTGTCACTGTCATACTAGTAAAACTAGCTGTTTTTTTTTTTTATTGAAAAAGGATGTTTTGAATAAAAGTGTAACCCGCGGCTTCATCCAATTACTTAAATCCTCCTACAATAAAGATTACACACCCCTGATTTAAATCATAAAGCATTAGGAATAATTGAATTTTTAGGAATTCTTGTTATGGTGGATTTGAAAAGTTTTAAATTAACAATGAATATTTGATCAATAAATTCCTATAATTTGGCTTTTTTCATCTGATCTCTGATTTCCATCTTTGCAATGAGACCGAGATGAACTTCGTCAGGACCATCTGCAATCTGGAGAGATCGAGCACCAGCGTACCTGGGAGAAAAGGAAATAGATTTTATAGTCTAGTGAGGGTTTATTACTTATCGATTTTTATCGGCAAGTATGTTGATAGGTATTTGTCTGTATGTTTGTTAGATGCACGCGATATCTCTCGAAAGCGAGATTGAATCTGCTCCAGATTTTGCATGTGCATTCATCTTATCTCGGACCAGAAGCCTATTGATTTTGAGCGAATTATGTCGTATAATTAGCGAGTTATCAATCAATTATTGATATAGTGATCTAGATTTTTGTAAAGCAAGAGAATTTTGAGACCCGCCGAGTGTGTGTGTGTGCGATGCGCAGTGCGCAAGTTACAAGAGCGGATGAATCGAAACTGCGGTTTCTGTTTTGGGGATCCCCTATATATCGATCAATAAGTCTTCGGTTTCCAAACGATATTCTCGTTTTATCACTGGTTGGTCAAAGGAAAGAATGCACGATTGACGAACATAAAAGCTGAAGAGGTGGAGCACCTAGAATGCAGATATAGGGAGCTTAGACAAAATTGCTTTTTATTTTATTGGCACTCATACACCTATACTCCAAACAAAGTGGAAATTTTGATCAAAAAATATTTCAATAAAATAATTCAGACTTGGAAATAATTCAAACTTGTATCTTTGCTTAAATAATATCAAAAAAAAACATCTGAATTCAACAATAATCATTGAAAACTTTTAGTCAACAATTAAAAGGGCGCGTTTTCTAACTTTCCCAAGTGCGCCATTATAAGTGGATATAAGAATATTTTATTGGCACACATACACCTATACTCCAAACAAGGCGGAAAGAGATTTGTAGGCGAACATTAAAAAAACAGGCAAGATTACGAACAACAAGCTAAGAACAAAGGGGACCAGTCGTGGGTTCACAGGGTCGTATGCTGTGAGGAATATTTATGTGCAAAAGAACTCTTCTGCACTAAGGTAGTTCACATAACCACTGGTCGGTTATGGCTTCCTCCATTATCAAGTCCATTCATATGAAACAAATGATTTGTCTCACTAACACCATACGCACAATAGACTGGTAACTAGGGCTAAGTATTTTCGAATACCTTCAAATCGAATATTTTTTTCAAATCGAATCTCGAATACTTGTAAATATATAATTGTAAGCGACTTTTTTATTGTAATTGGTCCTCTCAACATAAGAATTTTTGAAAACATAAAAATACATCACTCAGATAGATCACTGAGTGTTCACACACAATAACAAACACGTTTTATCAATAACTCACTACAGAAAATGGTCATATGTGAGAATTGCGTTGAAAAAATATGGCTTTAACCACGACACGAGAAAAAATTTGTAAAAGATAAATGTAGAAAACCTTTGTTTAAACTTGAGTTGTTAATCATAGTTTGCACTGGACAAAAATCTTTGTAATCTTTAAAATCTTTGTACAACAACCAGACTCACCAAGCAGCCAGAGGAAAGTCCTGTGAGACTCCTGCACCACCGTAGATCTGAATGGTCTTGTCAACCACATTTTTGAACGTTTCAATCGCTGCGACTTTGATCATTGCAATCTAGAAGAAGGATACATGAAAGGTTTTAGTTCCAAGGAGTAAATCTAGTGCAATAGACACAAGTTTTGGTACTGATGTAGCATGTGAACCAAGATGGCGGACACCAGAACGTTGTATGTGTACCAGGTTAGGGTTAGGCGATGATTTTAGGCACAAAAACTACAGGAGTCACTTGGCTAGTCCCCGACCTCGTTAATAGTATTAAAAAAAGAAAAATTGGAATTCTCATTGAAATATTGGGTTAGCATAGGATTTACATATTTATCCCGCGGGAGAGGAAAACCGATAAGACAGCTTATTCATATGGCTCACCACGGCCTCTCGTCCGGTTACCATTCCAAGTCGGGTATGGGATTAGTTATATTGTTTGTTTTCGGAAGCATGGACTTGGTGGTGGAGGAAGCCGTAACCGACCAGCGGTTACGTGAACCACCCAACGACGGCGAGGAGTCCAGCAATCCTCTCGCACATAACCATCCCTGCATGGGATTCGAACCTGCGAACCCACGCAGAGTAATTAGAGGTGCGGTGGCGAGCATATTCCTAACGCTTAGCCCGTTAAGCCACACCGCCGCACCACCAATATTTCACTATTTCAACATTCACCATTTCAACCATATTTCCTCTCAGTTCGTTGAGCATGAATTGTTTAAACATAATTGGCTTTGGAATACACCAATCTCTCTTCAACATCAAGTCAATACTTTCGAAAACTAATTCCACACCCGACATGGACTGGTAACTGGACGAGAGGCATTGGTTTGCCATATTATTGAGCTGTCTTATCGGCTTTACTCTCCTTCGGGATAAATATGTATTTCTTATCCTATCTCGATAGCACTATAAATACCACTGTAATGATAAACAAGGGGGCCAGGAGTGCTAAAAGCCTCAACAAAAGTGCCATTTCTCCTACTAGCATTGGTATAATATTTTCATATTCTTTGGAGTTGGCGACCACAAACAAAATTTAAAGCCGGGTAAAATTTTTTTGTCTAAAACACTTGAAAAGCTCACAAATGTAAATATTCCATGTATATTTTAACCCAGTGGTTTCTAACATTTCAGAGCTTGTGGTCCCCGTTCCCGAGGGTTATAGCACTCATGGCCACCCTGTGTTATCATTCCAGTGGTATTTACAGTGTTATTCTTATTGGTGGATTCCAAATTCGAATTATGATCAAACAATTCATGCACAAAAAAGTGGGAAAACATTGTGAAATAACTTCATCAAGAAATGAAACTAGGAAGAACGAAGAGTTTTCTTGTTAAGGGAAAAGTACATACAGTTTTGCGTCTAGCACTGTGCCCCTGCCATGTGGCTGATTTGGAGGGCTTCGGGCCCACGGTTAGGAACCGTTGTTTTAACCCTTCAATAGAAAGATCAAAGACTCAAAGGTGTATAAAATACTCCAAAACAGTGGTTTTTAACGTTTTTTCTGGTAGAAGCTCCCTAAGGGTCGAGTCTTCTAACTCTGCAAACCAGAATGCAATTTGATAAAACCTTATATTCACCTGTTTTCTTGCTGCTTTAGGTCCATGCATATCAATCATATGAGCCGTGTACAAGACCAGTAATCTGGCTTGGTCAATCTCGATACGACATCTTGCCAGATGATGCTGGTTTACTTGCTAGAAAGATAAAATAAGTGATTATTGATGAAAGAAAAATGGTTAGCATGTTGTCAAATTGATATAGTACAGTGGCTCCCAAAGTTGGTTGACTGAGGACCAAAACGAGAATATCGCTTGGAAACCGAAGACTTATCGATCGATAGTTAGGGGATCCCCCAAAACAGAAACTGCAGTTTCGATTCATCCGCTCTTGTAACTTGCGCACTGCGCATCGCACACACACACTCGGCGGGTTTCAAAATTCTCTCGCTTTACAAAAATCTAGATCACTATATCAATAATTGATTGATAACTCGCTAATTATACGACATAATTCGCCCAAAATCAATAGGCTTCTGGTCCGAGATATGATGAATGCACATGCAAAATCTGGAGCAGATTCAATCTCGCTTTCGTGAGATATCGCGTGCATCTAACAGACACACATACAGACACACAGACAGACATACATACAGACAAATACCTATCAATATACTAATAAGTACATTCAAGGGCCAAGAGAGGGAAACAAGCTGTATGCAATCCTAATACTGGTCTGTATAATTAGGATGCCGGTATCATTGAATTGTTGTGAATATAGACGTGCTTAAACTGTGATAGTGGCTTAACAATTGACGATATCTAGAACATAAAAAAGTAGAAACATAGAGTGTTAAACTCACTTTTCAACCGGAAATGCTGGCTAATTCAAGCTAACTACTTTTTATGTTACTCAAATTTGATAACACTAATGCAGGGGTGCACAACACGGGGCACGCGTGCCAAATTTGGCACGCCATACGCTCGATCGTGGCACGTGAACGGTTTTGTAAAAAATGATTTATTTGTGATATACATTAAAATATCACGTTTATATCGAAAGACACTTGAATGGTCATGTTTATCCACAAATTGCTAGCTCACGGCCCTGTTTTCAGAAGGTAGTTGCTCGAAATAAGCAGGTAGGCTAGCTTACCCTAGCGAGCAGTAAGGTACCGATAGGTGAAACGTGATTTTCCACTTATCGTTGATGACAAGAAGGTGTGTTTGTGTTGTAATAATCTAAATCGGCAAATTCATTCACCCCTAAGCGACTACCGTATGACTCGACTATATTATATTTACTTTTCACTTCGATTGCAAAAACGTCTTTAAATCAGCAGTCATTTATGACATTGAATCGTTTCAATAAATAGATATTCTATATTACGTATTAATATTTAAATTTGTTCGATGTGTGCTTTACGGGAATTTGTTTACAATAACAATAATTGTGCGTGGCACGCGACAAGATTATTTTGAAAAATTTGGCAAGTATCCTCATTTGAGTTGTGCACCCCTGCACTAATGCACTGTTCTTCTATAACAGTGGTCCCCAAACCACGGCCCAAATGACAACTCAATATGGCCCGCCGAACTTGAGTGAAATAGTTTAAAGGCCATGGTCGTCAATATCCAGATCGCCTTGACGTACTTTGAGGTAAATAGACATTATGGGAATTTCCATTCAGAATATTTCTAGCCCAAACCTAGATTCAAAAATTAAGAATATAAAGCCGCCCTTACATGTTCAATCAGTCTTTTTCCAAAAGTTCTTCTTTGAGCGGCTCGAGATACGAACATTTCTAAGCATCTCTCTGACACACCTAGTGGTAGAATTACAAAATTATTAGAACTTGAAGGCCTTAGCCTTATGCTTGTAGGCTTTTGCAAATGCTTCAAAATGTTGTATATATCTACCATGCTACTGTGAGTTGGTATGCAAAATATGCATGGAGTCCTTTGCAGTGTTGAATATAATGTGGGCAGGTTGGCACAACGGTTTATTGGTTCAAAGTTAGATTCAATTATGTTGACATCATGGGATAAAGATCTTGCTTGTTATCTCGGCAAGGGTGTAACGAATTGGGGAGGGAAAGCTGAACCGAAAAGAGTCCTGTCATAAATAATAGCCTTTCATGTATCCTTGAACATGTCTGAAGCCTTACGGCGCTCTCGAAATATATGTACCAAGATGGCGCACAACCTGAATCCTAACCTGGTACACATACTATGTTCAGGTTGAGCGCCATCTTGGTGCACATACTTCTGGAGGTCTGGCCTTAATAATAGAAAGATATGATTGGATTCTACATATTTAGGGAAGCCAATAGGACAGCTTAATCATATGGTGAACCACGGCCTCTTGTTCGGTTACCACTTTATGTCAGGTATGGGATTAGTTAGCCAGTTATTTGTTTCAGATGCATGGAAGCTGTAACCAGCAGTTACGTAAACCACCCTACAGCAGTGAGGAATCCAGCAATCCTCTCGCACATAATTATCCTCCACCGAATTCGAACATGTGAATACACCGCAGGGGAATTGTAGGTGCAGTGGCGAGTGTATGCCTAACATTTGCAGAATGCGCAGCATTGCCGAGCAATTTTGTAACTGAAAGACTCTTCCGAAAATAGTTGTAACTTAAAAACCTGCGATATATCTACTGGGTGATCAGTAAGTGAGTGGGCTTCACTGTGTTGATGTCTTAAAGATCTCAGGCCTGAACCCAAATGACCATAACTTCACAAAGGGTATAACAAATCTAAAAAAAAACAGGTCCTTCCAGAAATATAGGACTTTACTGATGGATGCTCCCAGTCTAGAACCTTATTCATAAAGAAAATCTAATAACGGCCTTTGAAAAACAGTGGAATTACCGTTAAAATTGCAAAATATCCAACGAACCTATGGATCTCATACAATGGTGAATCCTTCCTGGCCCTAGTCTTCCTTGAGCGATCTCAAATCCACGGCCTTCACCGAGAATCAAGTTTCGTTTCGGAACTCGTACATTGTTGAAATCAATTTCCATGTGTCCGTGAGGATAATCTGGGAAACAAATATAATACGGGTACCTGTTAATTATTGTTGTGAGCTACCTATCTGAGTAAGTCTGACTTTGGTCATATGAAAAGTTACAAAAATTGGCGCTCCCGCGATATGTGCAACAAGATGGCGGACATTGGAACGCAGTATGTGTACCAGGTTAGGGTTAGGCCATAATTTTATTCTAATTTTCCTTATTTTAGTTCTATTACGAGTTCGGGGACTAGCCAAGTGATTCTCGTGGTATTTGTACCTGAAAATATGGCCTAACCCTAACCTGGTACACATACTACGTTCCGGTGTCTGCCATCTTGGTTCACATACTATGGGAGCTCCAATTATTGTTGTGAACTGTCGATCCGACCAGATGAAACATTACAAAAATTTGCGTTGGTATGTATCAAGGTTGTTGATTCACATAACCTAGTCATTTTACTTTCTGTCACAGCACCCATGTAGTATATGCATACGAATTCCCTAGCGCTAAGGTATAGCTAGAAAGTTAGGGAGTGTATACAACTTACAAACACTGAGGCAAATAGAAAGGAAAGCAGTTATACATGACTTTAATCAAGTATTGTGCAATAACGATATTATTTCAGGGGTGTAATCTTATATGCTTTGCAATTACCTTGCATATTTTAAGTCATTACGACCTAGGTCTGGAGTCTTGACCTAAATGTTGAAGGTATTGATAAATTGGTATAATTAGATTGAAGTAGCAATATTGAAGCATCCTATATCAGGGCTACTAAACTGGTGGACCGCGGTCAGAATCCGAACTTTTTGAGTATTGGATTAGGACTGCACCTAATTCTTTATTTTGGATCATTAGCCCCACTTTTTAAGTTTCATTTTATAAAATGACTTTTATAGTTTTGAATATACATGAAAAGAACTATAACATCATAATAAACAATCTTGATTTGCTAAAAATCATTAGTCGGCCGAGGAACTGAGCGTTTAAGGATGCCAAAATATAATTTCTGGAAAAATCAGACACAAATAATCTTAAAGTTTCGAATGCAAATCCTCGGTAAAAATAGTTGAGTACTATACCATTTCAAACGATGAAACTAAATTGCTCTTAAAATTCACCTTCGTGTCCAAACACAGTCAAAGGCCTGATATCTTCACTCCTGGTGTATCGAATGGAACGACAATCATGCTATGCAGCCCATGTCTTCCTCTAGAATCGGAACGTTCAGTGCGACCCATGACTATTCCAAACTTGCAACGAGGATCTCCAGCGCCTGAAAGGAAATGATAGAATACTGTATTAGACTTCTTGTAACGAAAAGTGGTACAAGTCAAGTCGAATCACAGATTATCTGAGCCCCAAATAGATATCCAAGGTATTGATTGCAGCAACAGGTTGAAAACATTCTATCATGACTATGTAACCGTCTATTTAAGTGTTGTGCATAGATAACAAAATAGATGACATGAGGCACAATTGGTGTGCGCCACTTACAAACTGTTATACCATGCCTTATGTGACTGGGTGCTCACGAAGTATGCGAACCAAGATGGCGGACATCGGAACGTAACATGGGTAACAGGTTAGATTTGGCCAGAATTTTTTTCCAATTTTCCTTATTTTAGTCCTATTATCAGTTCGAAGACTAGCCAAGAGCCTCCCGTAGTATTTATACTTAAAATTATGGCCTAACCCTAACCTAGTACACATATTACATTTCGATGTCCGCCGTCTTGGTTCGCATACTTCGGGAGCCCCTGTAACTGTCTATATAAGATAGAATAAAGTGTTATTTCTTGCAATAAAAATAGATTATCTGAGCCCCAAACAGATATCCAAGGTATTGCTGCAACAAGTGGAAAACGTTTTTCACTGTGAAAAATTTCAATAAAATTTTTGATCTTTAGGGAAACATTGCATTTTCGTGATCTATGTGGTGGCCACCTCTGGTGCACTGCTTCAAGGTGCTGCTAACACTAAGTGAATTTGTCATGGTCATGGATTTGTTAGTAAAGTAATGAACTAAACTTTGGTCACTCACCACTATTCAGAACTTAGGCTCAGGATGGGGACCTTTCAAACTACGATTCACAAGTAGGGATCCGCAGCCCAGAGAGTCAAATCATCAAATGATAATTACTCGGTAAAATTTAAGAAAAAATTCGTACAATAGCTTGTTACCTTGTTTTGCATTTCTAATTTTACGAAACGGCGTTAGTGCGCTTTATGTAGAACTAGGAATTGAAACAATAACCCAATATGACTCCTCAAATTTGTCGTTTCTGTTTGTTAGCAAGAGCCGTGGGCTTATATTCAAGAAATTGGTTCAGTGACGCGCAAGTTCCGTGTCCGAGCAAAGCAGCCTAGGTACTCGATATATGAGTAGCAAAATGACATGCCAATACTTAGAGAATGACATCGACAGGTTATTGTTACGTGACAATACATGGTGCGGTGTTTTTCGGTAGGCGATCCAAGTTCGCCCCCCCAAAATTATGGAAAGTGTTCGCCCCTGGTTACGTCACTCACCACTATTCAGGACTTAGGCTCAGGATGGGGACCTTTCAAACTACGATTCACAAGTAGGGGCCCGCAGCCCAGAGAGTTTGGCAAACTTTGAATTAAAGCCTAATATAGGATAGGATAGGATTTACATATTTATCCAGGGGGAGAGGAAAGCTGATAAGACAACTTATCCATATGGCGAACCACGGCCTCTCGTCCGGTTACCATTCCAAGTCGGGTATGGGATTAGTTATATTGTTTGTTTTCGGAAGCATGGACTTGGTGGTGGAGGAAGCCGTAACCGACCAGCGGTTACGTGAACCACCCAGCGACGGCGAGGAGTCCAGCAATCCTCTCGCACATAACCATCCCTACATGGGATTCGAACCTGCGAACCCACGCAGAGTAATTAGAGGTGCGGTGGCGAGCATATTCCTAACGCTTAGCCCGTTGAGCCACACCGCCGCGCCTCAATATGTGTGAATGGGTTTGTTTGTAAAGTAATGAATTAAACTTAGGTTTCGTCACTCACCACTGCTCCACCATTTCCTTCCGTGTACTATGTAGCTGTCTCCATCAGGTGAGATAGATAGTTCCATGTTAGTGGCATCACTGGACGCTACAGCTGGCTCTGTAAACATATGAAAATGATTATGATTAATTGAAGCATCATTTGCTAATTTACTCGTTAAAAAAATAGAGTCAAACTTATTTGCCACACAAGTAACATTGCACAATTTATAAGCGAAGAATGAATAAATATTAGGAGGAAATTGTAAAAAGAGAAATAAATAAAGGGATAAGATTTTACATATTTATGCTGGGTGAGAGAAAAGCCGTTAGGACAGCTTGACCATATGGTGAAAAACATCCTCTCGTCCGGTTACCATTCCACGTTGGGTATGGGATTAGTTATTTATTTATTTCTGAAGCATGGACTTGATGGTAGAAGAAGCCAGCGGTTACGCAAACCCTCCGACGGCGGTGAGGAGTCCAGCAATCCTCTTGCACATAACCATTCCCGCATGGGATTCGTACCTGCTATCACACACAGAGTAATCAGAGGTGCGGTGACGAGCATATTCCTAACGCTTAGCACGATGAGCCACACCACCACGTCGATATGAATGTACAATTCTCAAACAAGATCATCACTCATAAAACGTGGAAGCTGCTAACGGTCTGCCAATCATGAGTATTCGAAAACCCATGGTGTGATAAACTGTGCATGCAATGCCAAAGCGGATAGATGCCGGTCATTCAAAAACATTAAGAAAGACCTTACACATTAGAAAGTGCTTGTGTCGAGCCTTGTTCAGAGTGTAGACCTATTAAACAATCTGGCGTGGCGATGTGGCTCATCATGCTCATGTTAGGAATACGCTCGCCACCGCACCTCTGATTACTCTGCATGGTTTGGCAGGTTCGAACTCCATGCATGGATGGTTATGTGCGAGAGGATTGCTGGACTCCTCGCCGCGGTAGAGTGATTCACGTAACCGCTGGTCAGTTACGGCTTCCTCCAACATCAAGTTCATGCTTCCAAAAACAAATAACTAATCCCATACCCGACATGTGATTGGTAACTGGACGAGAGGCCGTGGTTTGTCATATGATTAAACCGTCTTATCGGCTTTCCTCTCCCCCCGGATAATTATGTAAATCCAATCCTATCCTATTTTTTTACGTTCATACCTGTCATGCAGAATGCAGATCTTATTTCTCCCTCTAACAAAGGTTTCAGCCATTTTTCTTTCTGATATGCATCTCCATATAAATGAAGGACCTCCATATTCCCAGTGTCTAGAAAATAAAACAGTAATGCTCAATTATGTCTCGATGCATATTGTTGGAAAGGAATGCAATCAGTTGAATAGGATATGGCATTAATGTTAAAGCTTTTATAGGTAACACTGCTCGATAATCATTACTAGTTTATCGCGTCTCCTTTCACGCTAAAACTGCATTTTTTATCTTTTCATTTGATATATGTAAAATGTGTACTTTCGGCACGTGTAAAAATGAACTATTGACTACTGAAAATTATCTTTAGGTATTCAAAAATTTGCATCAATTATTTTTAGCATGATGTTTTAGTCGGCAGACTTGTCATATCACGATTTGCACAATAACTGCAGTTTGCAGGTTTGTAATTCTGTAAAGAATGATCAAGTTGGAGAAGATAGCTGGATTCATCGCCGACGCTCGAGAGTGATAATCATTAGCCAAATATGGTAAATTCTACCACGTAACAACTTGCATATGAAGTGGCACGGCTCATTCCAGTTACTAAACATTTAGTATCGCTAAAAAAAACTAAATTTAGGTTTGATTCCCACAAAGAACATGTGAGTGAAGCACTTGTAGACAAGGGTTAGTGGTTTATGTAATAGATGGACAATAATAAACACCTATACCGGCGGTTCCCGAACATTTTGTTCGTGCGGCGTCAAAATATCAGAGAAAAACTTTCACGTCGTACACAAAAAAAAAATTGCGGCCTCTATTAATAAAGCTCAATTTTGTGATCGTTGAAGTGTACTTTATGCCTTCAAAAGTTTGTATACACGCAAGCCTAAAGAATGGAGGCCCAATGTCAAATATTGAATCTCATATTAGTTATGTTTAACAGAACTCTACTAATTTTCAGTCGGATACGTAACTGTGCGAAAGCTGAAAGGTTGTGCTTCGCTATATGAATATCTCTCCTATCCCTTGGAAAGAAATATAAAAATCACTAAGTAAGATTACCTGGAGCACTGCAGTTGAAAACTTCAGACGCAAAAACATATTTTCCAAGTTGTTCAGCAATATGTGAATAGTCAACATTGCTCAGTCCACTGACGTCAGGAAGAAACAGATTCCAAAGTCCTTGAGCTTTTGCTTTTGCCTAGAAAGTTCACAGGAAGTTTGAACAAAGGAGTCAAAAAATATTTCAATAACATACTACTAAAAAGGAGGACACAACTGAGTGATGTATATACAAAGCTAGGTAACCATGTAGTATGTGTACCAGGTTAGGGAAAAGTCCACAGGTAGTCTGAACAAAAAATTCGGAAAATATTTTAATGAGATACCATCGCCAGGGGAGTTAAAAATCAAATGCTTCTGCAATGAAACTACAAGGTGTCCGTGAAGTCCCTTCACAATTTTAATTTTGTTATGAAGTCAGTTCTCAATATATCTTAACCAGGTTTTTTGTTTTTAATCAGTAATTGTTCAAGTATTTTTAGTTCATTTAATACATCTGTGAGGGCCAAAACAATATGATATGGTATAGAAAAATTCCCTTTGCAATTTTAAGACTTTATGGACACCCTACATTTCTAAATCATTCCTAAAGTTAGGAACATAATATCTAATTATGAATGTATTCAAAGTTTATTTTTATTGAAAATCACTGACGATAGCTTTACTACTATTCTATTATTACTTATCGATCGGTAATTCGGTAAGTATGTTGATATCTGAGGTATCTGTCTGTTTGTTTGTTCGTTAGTCACTTTCGTATGTTACACATGTTATAGGCATTCATTATATCTCAGACCAGAAGCCTATTGATTTTGGATGAATTATGTCGTATAATTAGCAAAGTAATAATTAATTTATGATGGGACACGTGGTGTCGCTATTGAGTCAGAGTGAGAGAATCGAAACCACAATTTCTGTTTTTCGGAAGATCGATAAGAATTCCAGCAATATTTCTTCATCCAAGACCGATTCCATCTCTATTCGGATTGATTAAATGGATAGAATAGGATTTACATAATTATCCCGGGGGATAGGAAAGTCGAAAAGACGGCGTAACCATATGGCGAACCGCGGCCTCTCGTCCGGTTACCATTCCGTGTCAAGTATGGGATTAGTTAGTCAGTTATTTGTTTTCGGAAGCATGGACATAACCGACTAGCGGTTACTTGAACCCCCCTACGACGGCGAGGAGTCCAGCAATCCTCTCGCACATAACTATCCCCGCATAGGATACGAACCTGCAAACCCACGCGGAGTAATCAGAGATGCGGTGACGAGCGTATTCCTAACGCTCAGCACGACGAGCCACATCGTTGTGATAATCATTTCCAGACCTTACAAATATCCTGAAGCAAGGTCCTTTAATTACAAGTGGGAAAAGTACTTGGGGGATCGGGTTCTGGAATTTTCAATTGTCAAGTTAGACCGGAACAGCCAACGGGGCCGGTCGGAAAATGTGAGTTTTGAGGGTCTAAAAAACGTTTCAAGCTACAAAAACACAGAAAAATGCTTTTTTCGCTTTACAATACAAAATGGGGAGTTTTTGACCCCCCTTTGTGTAGACCCCTGTGCAAGCTAATGGCCCGAGAACTATTTCAGGTGCTCCCGAAGTATGCGAACCAAGATGGCGGATATCGGAACGTAACATGGGTAACAGGTTAGGGTTAGGCGATAATTTTTTTCCAATTTTCCTTATTTTAGTCCTATTATCAGTTCGAAGACTAGCCATTAGCCTCCCGTAGTTTTTATACCTAAAATTATGGCCTAACCCTAACCTAGTACACATATTACATTCCGATATCCGCCATCTTGGTTTGCATACTTCGGGAGTCCCCTGTTTCATATAATCTAGTACAAGTCTAAAAAATTCCTTTCAGCAAAGAGCAAAAACAATACTGATAAAAGACTTGCAATCAACCACTGAACCCCTTACCTTCAAGTCTTCCACCAATGGCACAACACACCATTTATTCTTAGCATTCTTCAAGTAATTAAAGTAGGCCTGAAAAAATATATGTTTTATGAATATAACAAAGTGAAAAAGAATTGATGTAGCCATGATAAGTTGGCCGTATTATTATTACCTTTCCCCAACCCCAGGACAAATATGAAAAATCCCGTCCTTTCCCAAACTCACCCTAGACTGGTGGCAAGACGATTAATAGATAGATCAGGGCTTTCCAAACTGGGGGTCGTGACCCTACAGGAGGACTCGCAAGCAACGGATTTTAGGGGTCGCAATGAGTACCCATACCCATATTAACTGATTATAGTCAGATAGCAGGACAAAGATATTCACATGACCAACACAAATTATCGACTTCCCAACTAAACAGTGAAAGTCCTTACCGTATATTCTCTCATATAAGTCGAGTTTACAGTGATATTAGGGATGAATTTGAAGGATTGTGAGACACTTCTTACCACCATTATTATTATTAGTAAAACATAACAACAATGGTCATCATTTTCATTAATTCTCTTCTGCAACTATTTGCTGACAAAGGTGTATACGGCGTGTTACGATTTATAAATCCACCGTTTTAGGGCTGTTTAGGGGGTAAGATTATATGTGAGGATACACAGTACTCAAATGAACAACAAATGAAAGTTACTTACAGTTTCATTAGGCTTGATATGTTCCTCAATAAATGCTTTTACTCTTTTCAATACATCCTGACCCTTGGCAGAAGGAGATAGTGTGACCGGTAGGCTCATCTTGGATAACGAATCAGAACTAGATTTAAATTAATTTAATTTAGAGAACTGTGACATTGGAAGAAAAAATAAAATTAGCCTGGGAAGAGTCGCTGAAAGCATTTCAAATCCTCAACTCAAAAGTTGCAAGAAACATTGATTGTATATGTAGACTTATTTGTGTGTGCATTGAGTGATAGATGGAAGCAACGTTCCCTATAAGCTGCGCAGCTGACCGAGAATCTCCGCGCAGTACTTTCGTTCCGCCGCGCACTGCATAAGTATGCGTTCATTTAAAATGTTGAGTTCTTTTATATTTTTTCTGATTTCCCGCTCAGACCTTTTTTTTGGAGCTCACATGGCCTTCTATTCCGCGTAACTAAGCAAGCACTTTAGAGGGAACGTTGGTTGGATAGGAATAGGAATAATAATAAAGGAATAATATAATAATAATATAGGAATTCTTGTGGTGAAGGTCGGCTCACCATATTTGCTCACCATTGTGCCAATGAATAGGTGTGAAAATTTGAATCCCTCAAATAGTATAATTATGTGCGAGGGGATTATACCAGCACCAACAAGTGATATATTCTATATCTTCTATATCTCACTTGGACTTTCTTGTATTTAAGTCTGGACTGGCTATGTGGGATTCGAGAGCAATAAACTCTATTTTCTAATAATAGCTTATTTTTTCCTAACTGAGCATTACAGGCAAAATATTAGACTTGTGAACTCTCAAAAAAAATTCCACAAGATGGTGCCATAGAGCTGTTTTTGAAATGAGTTTGCAATTTGTGTCACCCTGCTGTTACCTCTCATTAGGCTTCGATAGCAATAAACTCCCCTGAATAGCTCCATTTTACTAAGTTTTACAAGCAAGTATAAGGCTAAGACAGGAATTCTCACAAAAAAATCCTCAAGATGGCAATATAGAGCTGTTTTGAAATAAGTTTCCTCCTATTTGACATATATATATGTTACTCTATCGTCTTTCTTCAGTACATCTCCATTACATGAACTATAAGATGGCATTTGAGAGCTGCTTAAGAGAAGTTATGACATTCGAAAAACTTCTCTTACCAATAAGAAAAAAGAACTTTGGAAAGACATTATTAACTCCAACCAAACTTCATGAAATACTTTCGTGAAGAGATTTTACTTTCCTGAGTGGGCCTTTATTCCGATTTTCCTTATTTTAGTTCTATTACGAGTTCAGGGACTGTCTGTGTTAACCAAGTGAATATACCCCGTGCCCATGGGTTTAAGTCTCTTTACACAACTTGATGTAAAGTAGGCGAACAAAATTAGTTACCTCCATATTGTTACATATACTTCTGGAGCGCATATCGCAGAGGTGGGCATTTACTTTCCTGAGTGGGCCAGCTACGAATGATAGACTTGGTTACTGGGCCAGAGGCTCGAAACTTAATTTGATTATAAAAAAAAAAGTTAAATTTCAAATGAACAGGCGCAGCGGTGTGGCTCAACGGGCTAAGAGTTAGGAATACGCTCGCCACCGCACCTCTAATTACTCTGCGTAAGTTCGCAGGTTCGAATCCCATGCAGGGATGGTTATGTGCGAGAGGATTGCTGGACTCCTCGCCGTCGTTGGGTGGTTCACGTAACTGCTGGTCGGCTACGGCTTCCTCCACCACCAAGTCCATGCTTCCGAAAACAAGCAATATAACTAATCCCATACCCGACTTGGAATGGTAACCGGACGAGAGGCCGTGGTTCGTCATATGGACAAGCCGTCTTATCGCATTTCCTCTCCCCCAGGATGAATATGTGAATCCTGTCCTAACCCAACAGTTAATGTACAACAAACAGCACGCCGGAAGTATGTGTACCAGATTAGAATAGGATTTACATATTTATCCCGGGGGAGAGGAAAGCCGATAACATGGCTCAACTATATGGTGAACCACAGCCTCTCGTCCGGTTACCATTCCATGTCGGGTATGGGATTAGTTAGTTATTTGTTTTAGGAAGCATGGACTTGATGGTGGAGGAAGCCGTAACCGACCAGCGGTTACGTGAACCACCCTATGGCGACGAGAAGTCCAGCAATCTTCTCACATATATTTAACCCCACATGGGATTCGAATCCACTAAGAGTAATCAGAGGTGTGGTGGCGTGTGCATTCCTAACGCTTGGTGCGATGAGCTACACCACCGCACCAAGGGTTCCCGCGTTAGGGTTCAGGTTGTGTGCCATCTTGGTGCACGTACTTTGGGAGCGTCCAAACATCTAGTGTACACAATTCAATGAGTGATAATTATGTATGAGAGGATTGTTGTTGGACTCCTCGCCATCGTAGGGTGGATTGTCGTGACCGCCAGTCGCTTGTAGCTGCCTGCACCATCAAGTCCATGGCAAACTAATTCCCCACCTGATATGGACTGGTAACAGGGCGAGAGGCCGTGGTTTGCCATATGATTAATCCATTTTATTACCTTTCATCTCTCCCGGAATAAATATGTGAATCCTATCTTATGGAGCTAAAATTTATAACTAGCCATGGACACTTGGCCTCGATTCTAGAAACAAAAAAGGGACCTCCTGAAGTATGCGCACCAAGATGGCGCACAACCTGAACTCAGGTTGTGTATAAGGTTAGGGTTCAGGTTGTGCGACATCTTGGTGCGCATACTTCAGGAGTACCCAAAAAAGACTTTATGATAGGAGTAAAACACTTAAAGATAGCGACATATGTCCTCGTTGTAACAAAACACTTTGAAGCCACAAGTCATTAGTGATAATTTGTGACAAGTGTTTTTAAGTCAGCACCTCTTGAAACTTTATGCAAGATTAAAGCTTGAGAAGCTACTTAACAGGGGTTGAAAAAACAGATTATAGTTTGAAATTTTTGACATACAAACCGTTTCGGTATTTTTACACATTCACCAGGAATATGGCTTGGAGGTCAAGCAACAACTTAAATGTAAAGAATTGATGTTTATAAAGACAAGAAGCTCCCCAGGTCAAAAAATGTGTGTACCAGGTTGGGGTTAGGCATCACTTTATTCAGATTTTCCTTTTTTTAGTTCTATTACGAGTTTGGGGACTGTCTGTGTTAGCCAAGTGAATATACACTCTACCCATAGGTTTCAGTCTCTTTACAGAACTTAATGTAAAGTAGGCGAACAAAATTAGTTACCTACATATTGGTAGACATACTTCTGAATCACCGAATTACCTACCCAATATACGAGTGCACAAAAAGCCTTATATTAAATTAGGTAAAAAAACTTTGATGTGCTTCGTGCAAATAATGATGGGCATATCAATTTTTGTTAAATAAAGTGAAATAAAAAAAATAAATAAACACTGATTAGAACAAAACAAACCTGGTTAAGATATATTTAGAATTGACTTTTGTAACGGGATTTTATAATGATTTACGATGTAAATTCAAGGTCAGAATTAGCTACCCAATATATATGTGCACGAAAGGCCTTATATTAAATTAGGTAAAGAACTTTGATGTATATTGTGCAAATAATGATGGGCACATAAAAGGCACATAAACAAAAGTATGGATTTTATGTCATGCATCCTTAACTCATGACGCCAAAATTGTCAATTCCAATGTCCTGTCATAAATAAATATTTGTCTGTTCATTCACACCCACTTTTATTTTAAACAAAAATTTCTCAGAAAACTTTTTCTTAATAGGTGCATATTTCCGTCATCACTTAGTGTTATTGTGCAATAGAGAGGAAGAGATTATCCTCACCCATTGTGACATGACAATTTATTCTTTGATGTCACAATCAACCCATTGTTGACATCACAGTTAACTGAGCATGTAAGTGTGTGTCTCAAGGACGTGCCATTTTCTTAAGGTGAGGTGATTAGATTGACAGATCATTATGATGTATCAATAGGTTTTGGAAAATTTTTGGTTCTAAAAATAAATATTCAGCGAGTTTCGTGTTTATAATATGATTTTAAAGCATATAGAAATGTTGGTACTCCCGTAGTATGTGTACGAGGTTAGGGTTAGGGCATAATTTTATTCTGATTTTCCTTATTTTAGTTCTATTACAAGTTCGGGGACTGTCTGTGTTAGCCAAGTGATACCCCGTGCCCATAAGTTTCAGTCCCTTCACACAACTGATGTAAAGTAGGCGAACAAAATTAGTCACCTCCATATTGGTACACACACTTCTGGAAATTCTGGCGCTGAAATATCAATATTTCAAACAAAGCGTCATGAATGTGGAAGAGGCAAGAAAGTATTTAATAAGACTATATTTTATAGGACATTTTACAACAACACAATGGCTCTAAGTAGGCTCTAGGAAATTTTGCCGCAGGAAATTTCGGCTAATAGGAAAAAATAACCGCAAGAGCATTTTGCTGTAAAACAAGTACTCGTGATAAAAACAGTTTGGTTTTTGAGGTACCTTTTTATTTAAAAAGATTCGTTATTTGAAGCATACCCTAAATCTATAACCCGACCTTTTTTTATCACAAATACTTGTTTTACAGCAAAATGCTCTTGCAGCGATTTTTCATGCGACGAAATTTCCTATGCATCGAAATTTCCTTCACCCTGCAATAAATATGAAAAAATCAATTTTATTCTAAAAAAAACATTTTTCAACACTACATGTCACTATAGAGCTACTAAAGTCTGGATAACAATACCCATACTGTTTTTGCCCGCTTTGGCAAGGTTTCTAGTGTTTTTTGATGATTTTCACTGATTTTGCACGTTTTGGCAAGATTTCTAGTGCTTTTTGACAAATTTTCATTGATTTTGCATGTTTTGGCAAGATTTCTAGTGCTTTTTGATGATTTTTCACTGATTTTGTACGTTTTGGCAAGATTTCTAGTGCTTTTTGATGATTTTTCACTGATTTTGCACGTTTTGGCAAGATTTCTAGTGCTTTTTGATGATTTTTCACTGATTTTACAAGTTTTGGCAAGATTTCTAGTGCTTTTTGATGATTTTTCACTGATTTTGCACGTTTTGGCAAGATTTCTAGTGCTTTTTGATGATTTTTCACTGATTTTGCACGTTTTG